CAGATTGCATATCTGGGATCTGCTGCCCCGTGGATCCAGCAGCCTGAGGCGGTCACCTCACCTTGCCACTGGGTTGCTCCATCCATGCTCATGTGTGTGAGCTCATATGTCATGCAGAGATCCTCCACATGGAAAGCAACGAGTTGGAGAGAAGGATTCTCCAAGATCTAGTCTGCTATGTGGAAGTTATTTTTGTTGGTGGTTCTTTCGACCATTCACAGCCTAAAGTGGTGCAGCCTAGACAGAGGTTGGCATATCTTTTGGGATTGTCATACCAAGATATACATGGGCACCCTGTGTGCACACACAGACAGTGAAAGGATAGGGGGCACTTGTGGCCCTCTGGGGGCTGTTGGACTTCAGTCAGCCCCAGCCAGCATGACCAATGGTCAGGGATGATGGGAGATGTTGCCCAGTAACACCAGGAGGGCCACACGATGGTGAGCTGCTTTGAACTCGAAGGACGTTGTCGGAAAGACGGGGTACATAATTAAATTTAATCAGATAGAAAAGCAAGTTCCCCGCCCACGGTTTTGCAGCATGCAGAAACAAACCGGTGCAGGTGTAACCATCCATTGCATGAACTCCCTGATGCCACGTGGGTTGTTGCTAGTGTTAGAAACTTGGGTATAAAAGCTAGGGGCCAAATGGCTTCTTAGCCCAAGGGTACAGTCCCCAAAATGGAATACAGTGGTACCTCAGGTTACATACGCTTCAGGTTACATACGCTTCCGGTTACAGCATCCGCTAACCCAGAAATAGTGCTTCAGGTTAAGAACTTTGCTTCAGGATAAGAACAGAAATCGTGCTCTGGTGGTGCAGCGGCAGCAGGAGGCCCCATTAGCTAAAGTGGTGCTTCAGGTTAAGAACAGTTTCAGGTTAAGAACAGACCTCCAGAACGAATTAATCACTTAACCCAAGGTACCACTGTATATGTGTGTGTGTGGACTGTTCCAGGATCAAGTGGTGCTATCTCTCTCTCTGTCTCTGTCTCTGTCTCTGTCTCTCTCTCTCTCTCTCTCTCTCTCTCTCTCTCTCTCTCTGTGTGTGTGTGTGTGTGTGTGCGTGTGTGTGTATTCCTATTCTGACCTCTTTTTCTGAATGGGTGACTGCTACTCAGGTTGCACAGAAAAAGCAATTTGGTTCCGGAAATTCATTCTGATTGTGCAGATAAAATATAACTGGTAGAATTCTACAGGATGGGATATTAGTGTGTGAAAACAGTCCAGATCCAGCGATCCCCAGGTGTGCACCTCCAGGTGGTGGAGATGTTAGGTGGCACCCAGGCACCTTCACTTAGTCACAAGTGGCTGATAGCTGGATGCCAAATGCGCCTGGCGCCTGGCTAATTTCGAACACCGATGGTTGCTCCATGGCCAGTGGTCAGGGGTAATGAGGGTTGTGGTCCATCAGATTCTGGAGGGTCACCCGCTCCCCATCCCTGGTCTTCATTGTGCATCAAGTTCGATGACACATGTGCATTTTTGGTGCCGGGCAAAGCACAGAGGTCTGTTCTCCTGCACTAAAATGTTCCCATAACCTAAACTTCAAGGTAGGCTGTTTTCTTTTGTTGAGCCCTCTTAGATTCTTTCATTAGCCTCCTGCCTTCTGGTCCCCCGTTTTACTAGCTAATTGGGTGTCCCTCTGTCTCCTAGCTCAGTGTCGACTCGTTGCCTAGTAGCTTGGTTTGATGGGATAAGATTCAGGATGTGGAATTCTTGTGCCTGACTGGTGTATTTATTCAAAGATGTGCAAGGGTCAGACATGGCATGGGAAAAATTAAGCCTCTGTGCCGTATGCATGCATTCCTCGGCTATCTTAATTGCTGATCTCTAGAGTGGGGATTGATGTACACCTCTTAACCCTCTATCATCTCTGAGGTGCATGGCTTTGAAAGCAAGGAGGTTGTATTTGGGTGCTAGCAGAATTCCCCCCCACCCCAGTTCCTAACAGGAACAGAACCCAAAACTCAAATTGGGTATCTGTTTGAATTGTGGAAGGGACTGGTCTACAAGAACAGGAGAACTTGCTGTGCGAAAATCCCCCCCCCCACTCTTTTGCTTACTGCTACAAGTTTCTGAGTCGACGCAGAGCTCTTAATTTGAGCTGAAATTAATGACTATCGAACCTTTCCTGATACGACGAGGGTGGACACTCACTGCTAGAGAAGAAGTGATTAGTGTTGTTGTCTGGTGAAGTAGATCCTGGTTCACAAATGCCACAAATTTGGCAGACCTTTGAGGTGTCTTGAGACTCGGTTTCAGTGCAGAAAGTGACTTTCTTGAGTGTGTGTTTGTCAGGTGGTTGTTTTATATCAAAACTAAAAAACAACAACACCCCAAAACAAATTTGCAAAGGGCCGTATTGGAATGTGGCAACGCCAGGTATGAAGTAACAGTAGCACTTTCAGCAAAAATATATTCTGCTTTTCCTCCCTCCCCATCTGCCCGGGGTGGGGCAGGCCAGTAAACAATACTAAGAATGAACAGGAACTGTTGCTATGCCTTAAAACAGAACATCTTCCCAAACGATTATGCAAGGCTGCAGTGAAAACATCCTCTTAACTGAAGGTAGCAGGAGTGACCATAATTGGCTCTTTGTTTTTTGGTGTGGTATGCTTCCAACTTGCTCTAACATGTTTTGGCTCTGTGCATTGACTCAGGAGGAGTGTTGCTGCAATTAATCCAAGGCGGAAGGCTGCCTTGACAGATAGAACTGCCTCCAAGTTGAGCTGAATGTATATTTATGTTCTGGCTCTGGCATCTTGTGCTGTGTGTGTGTGTGTGTGTGTGTACACTTGATGGAAGGAGGGTCCGAGTGTGTGCTTTAAAAAAACGTCTGTATGTTGCGCGGGGAGAAAGGCCTGTACAGTATGCAGCGCTAATGAAATATGAATGCAATAATAAATAACGATAATAAAAAAGTTTGGCCACTCATTGCAAGATGGGGCACATGTCTCTACTTGCCCAACTTTTGCTTACTTTTCCGAGCATTTTCCCACAGTTATCAGTGAACGAAATGGAATCCTCGTCTGCTTTCAATATGAAACATATTTAGGCTGCAATCCAACACTGTCTATTTAAAAAGCAAGCTAGACTCCCCCCTCCCCCCAATTCAGAGGCTGCATGCTGAGCTAAGTCGTGAGAAATGAATTTGCTTTTGAATTCTTCCCTCTCTCTCTCTCTCTCTCTCTCTCTTTTTAAAGTCAGCGTTATGCCTTACACCTTGCAGTTGTTTACTTTTCATTCAGGGAAGCTGTTTGTCTCTGCAAAAAACCTAATTCCCTTCTCGCCACCCTTGCAAATGGATTGATAGCCAGTGCTAACAATGTCATTAGTCAGAAGGCAAACTTTAAGCTTATGAGTCACAACTTTCTTTTCTGCTGCCTGAGTTAGAGTCTTAAGAGTAATTTCCCTTTCGCCCACGTCCCACGAAGCTAAGGTGACTGAACACTGACACCTGGTCACCGGAATATTTTGGCACGCTCTCAATGTGTAGGCTTGTGGAATTGTCCGGCTGAGAAACCAAGCTCGTTCATTGTGTGTGTGTGTGTGTGTGTGTGTGTCTAAATTTCTATCCCTCGTGGTCATTGTAAAAACTTCAGATTTTCCAACCACAACAACTTCAATCTTTGCATGACCACAGGACTCTTGGTCTCTCTCTCTCTCTCTCTCTCTCTCTCTCTCTCTCTCTCTCCTTTTCTTTCTTTTTTCTTTTTAAAAAGACCATTTAAAACACAGACGACCACTCCAGATGTGTCATTTTAATGTGCAGAAAGATGAACCAGGGGCTGCCTGCTGCCTTGGCATCGTACACCTGCGGGTCCCACAATTCTCACCAACATTTTACAGCATGTTGTAGCTTGCCGTCTCGTAAAATTCACCACTTAAGACTTGTAGCATTTGATGGTAGGCTTCATAGAAAACATCCCGGTCCCTGAATTATCGTGGGTTGGTGTCTGTGTGTCCTTCCTCCTTGCCTGCCCCTCCCCATGCCACACTTTTAAATGAAGTTTTCTGAACTTGTGGGATGGAAGGAGGAGGGACACATGAAGAAAGTGTGATTAACTCTTGAAGATTTCTTTCTCTTTCTCTGCTCAAGGCTAGGGATAAAAGGTGCTTTGGTTTCGTTAGCATCCTTCTTGCCTGAATATGTTTGGTTTGTGTACATCCCAAGTGTGCAGGTGGCAGTTAGCCTTTTTATTTCTTCCCTCTTTCTCCAAATAGGTTTAGGGTTGGGTTGTGAAGCCCCCCCACCCCTTTCCTTTTTCTTTTTAAGACTGCTTTATGCAGTTCTCTCCCTCCTCCTCCCCTCCCCTTCCTAGATTCACCCGTCCTTTCCTTTAGTTACCTGATACTTGTGGGAGCAGCGATGGCTTTGCCACAGACAAAGCGTTCAAAGAGGTGCTGAAAAGCAGAGTCTCTGGAGATTATGGTTCTGAACCTTGACAGTTACAATCCTTAGCAACCTGGCTTTGGGCATGCAGAATGGGGAAATGTTGGGATCTTGCAAAAAAAAAAAGAAGGTTTTAACCCCCCCCCCATTTTTTTTAAAAAATAAATCCTCCTCCTCCTCCTTTGGGGGCCACTTTCCTTCCTTTACAGCGTGCCTAAGAAACCACAGCGACATCTCAGCTGTGCAAGGCCTCAAACGGTGGATACAGAACTTCCTGGTTAAGAATGTGAGATGCATTAGCGATGACAAAGATAAAGAGACCTTTCACCTTAAATTGCTCGAGTCAGTCTGGATAAGGTAGCTTAGTCAGACTGGATAAGGTAGTTTAAGCAGCTGCAAGAGGATCACATTTGTCTCGGCTGTAATCTATTGCCTATTTATGTTTAGAGGAGCACATGATTGTCAGGAAAATGCGTGCAGAGTCGTTTCTCCAAAGCACGCTCTAATAAAAAGATGGCAGTGGCTCCAGTGAGCCTCATTACCACGATTTCTATTTCTATTTCTATTTTTAAATACTAACATGGTGTCTTTTGCTCTCTTTACAGAGATCCTACACGTTGCTCGTTGAAGCCTGGGATTACAGTAACGACAGTGTTAGTAAGTATGCACATGGCCTTTTTTGTGTGTGTCTCCTCCCTTCGCCACGGAGCTGTCTAAAAGCAAGCAGCAAGGACAGCTTAAATAGAGGAAGGGGCTGGATCTTTGCAGAGATTCTGGGTCGGAAGAAGTATGCACTGATCCTTTATGGGAAGGGGCAAATGGAAGGGTATGAACCAGCCCCCTCGGACGTGGGACCCTCCTGGTGTTTTGTAGTTCAAAACATCTAGACAGTTCCAGGTTGGAGGCTGGTGTGGAGCTTGTCTATTTTGGCTTGAATTCCGTGCAGAAGACAAGCTTAAAAAGGTAAAGGGAACCTAGACCATTAGGTCCAGTAGCAGACGACTCTGGGGTTGCGGTGCTCATCTCGCTTTACTGGCCGAGGGAGCCGGCGTACAGCTTCCGGGTCATGTGGCCAGCATGACTAAGCCACTTCTGGCGAACCAGAGCAGCACACAGAAACGGTGTTTACCTTCCCGCTGGAGTGGTACCTATTTATTTACTTGCACTTTGATGTGCTTTTGAACTGCTAGGTTGGCAGGAGCAGGGACCGAGCAACGGGAGCTCACCCCGTCGCGGGGATTCGAACCGCCGACCTTCTGATCGGCAAGCCCTAGGCCCTGTGGTTTAGACCACAGCGCCACCCGCGTCCCTAGAAGACAAGCTTAAATTCCCCTAATTCCAGGGTGAGCATCACTTGAGATGATCTGCACACAGCATGGGTTGCCCAGTAAAATGGCAGCTGCCTGAGTCTCTGAGCTGGAAAGACCCATCTGTTTGGAGAAGCAATCTCCATGCTGTGTTAGAATCTACCAATAGACCATGGGTCGGTTGGTGCATATCCAGTATTAGGATGATGGCGGGGAATGCCCTCCAGAAAATCGAAAGTGTGCTGTGCTTCCGAGTCACGCTGAAATCCACAGATCTCCATGCAAGTGGAAGTTCTTTGGTGTGTTGTGGCAAAGGTGACTGAAAACAATGCTATTCAGCCTCCGGAGAGGCCAGGGTAGTCTTCCAACAGCATCTCGTTTTGACATCGGCAACAATGGTGCTACTTCAGTCATTTCTGTGCATGAGATTACGAGCAGTCTGCCCTGCCTTTTCTCGGAAGGCTGCAAAATTGTGTGGAAATAAACAGGTTTTGCAGTGGACTCGTAGGTGCAGTTGATTCAGAATTTCTCACAAACAAGTGTGCTTTATAAAAATGCCGATTCAAAGAAATCATTCTGCAGAATCTTTTTCATCTTTAAGTAAAGCTTTAAAATTTGGTTCATGCGGTTGCCTCTGCTGTCCCCTTTCCACGACTCAAGGAGCATCCAAACTACTGCCCCCCAGATCTGGATTCGCACTCGCATTCACCCCATCTGAACACCCTTTATTTGTGACCCATGTGCTCCACAAACATCCTACAGCCCCTTCACGCAGTTTTGTTGTGCAAGCTCCAATTTACAGATGACCTTTTGGCGGCTCCCAAAGCATACTGCAATCACGAATGTTGCGTGATTCCCACATAGCAGAAAAAATGGACCGTGGGAATGGCACTGTGTTGAGATGAGTTTGGCTAAACTGCCATTGAAATTTGCTGCTTAATGGGCGTTTGATTAGATCCCTTTTCCCATAGAGATACTTTGGATCCTGAACACCTTGTGAGTTGAATGTTTTGGCTCCCGAACGCCACAAACCCAGAAGTGAGTGTTCCGGTTTGCGAACATTCTTTGGAAACTGAACTTCCGATTGGCTGCAGGAGCTTCCTTTAGCCAATTGGAAGCTGCGCCTTGGTTTCCAAATGTTTTGGAAGTCGGACTGACTTCCGGAACGCATTCTGTTTGACTTCCGAGGTACCACTGTATTGGTTGCACCTGTAGCTGCCCTTGCTTTTCAGAGGTAAATGAGAGCTTGCGGTACCTTCTCCAGATATGCCCCAGCCTTATCTCTTGCTGCTGACACTGCAACTGCCTGGTGTCTTAAAAGGCTGCTTGCTATTGGCACCCTGGCTTATGCTCAGAAGTTGACGGTTTTCTCAGTCTTGCTGCAGCCCTTCTTAAACCATGAACATTCGATGGTATTGTCTGTCGTGACTGTTTGCACCAAGTTGGGCCAAAGGTTCTACTTGGGTTTCCCCTGTCGAGGCTAAAAGTATTCCAACTTTTTCAGGCTTTGCATACAAAAATGGCTCCACGGCTAGGATACAGGCAGGCCAAGTGACATGGCCAAAATATGTACTTCCATTGCACAGAATAGTTTTCCTAACATATATGAAGTGCTTAGAGTAATTGTGCTTGACCTTAAGAGAGTCCTGTAAGTCTGATGTTGCTACTATTCACATATCATAGATGTGGATCATTTTATAGGGAAGAAAACTCAAACAATGTGCTCATAGTAAAACTCTTCTCTCTTATCCATGCAATCTTGGTCATTCTCTCCCCCAAATCATTGTGCAAAATTATCTTCCAGGGAAAGCTGTCTTAGCAGCACCTGTCCAAATGGGTCTTGTTAGAGGCAGCTTATTAAGGTATCACCATAAAGATAAAAACAAAACAAAAGACGTTGTTACGGTACTGCAAAAAGAGTCACCCAAACACTTTGGTTCCAGAATGAAGTGCATCTTACAATGGACACTGGTGACATTAGATGATTGATGGCACACAGATATACATGCTTATGTTAACCTCAAATGGAAAACAGGAGAAATCTTTTACAGGTGTTTCTGCATTGACCCCTGTGAGGAAATGCCTGCGTTTGAAAGACACTGTTGTTTGCCGGAGGATCCCAGTTCTTTTCATTCAGAGCCTTTACTATCTCTCCTTTGAATAGATCTCATCTTTATTTCATGAAACCGAAATTTCCAAAGCTTCACAATGAGCCCTTTCTTTCGCCTTAACATTCTGGAGGCAAAAGATGTCCTCCAACCAAAATGTCAAAATGCATTTTCTGAACCAGAAATGTTTGACCCAGTTCAGATGTGGCCCTGCATATGTTTGCAATTTAAACTTGCAATAGATTGAGCATTGTATATTTTAACGGGATCACACTAGAGATCCCTTACAATGAAGAACGCCTCCTCTCTCTTTTTGTTTTGTCTCTTATTTACTACTGGCAAACATTTACCAGAATAGAGTTTGCCAGTAGTAAATAAGAATGAATAGAGTGAATAGAGTACAATTGCTGGTGAATAGAGTACAATTTTCCTGCTTTTTGCTCTCCTGAAAGTGATTAACTTGGATAACCTTTTTTTGAATCGCAAACTTCAAACTTTGCTAGTTAAAGAATCGCAGAACTGTAGGGTTGTAGGAAGGGACCAGAAGAGTCATTTAGTTCAACCCTCTGCAATGCAGGAATCTTTTCCCCAACTTGAGGCTTGAACCCATGGCCCTGCGATTAAGAGCCTCATGCTCTACTGACTGAGCTATTCCAGGTGAGATGGTGAACACCAGTCTTCTAAACCAAATCCATAGGAACAGCTGGAAAAAGTTAAGGGTGTGTCTTGAGGATGGGGGTCCTGTGGCCCTCCCAGATGTTTTGGGACAATAGTGCTCTGACCAGTGGCCATGTTGCCTGGTGCTGTTCAGAACTGGAGTCCAGTAATGTCCGAAGAGCTGCAGACTCTCCATGTAGCCTGTCTGTCTAGTCTTGCTTCCTGTTTACATCAAAATCCGGCCAGTTACTTCCGAGAAGCCCTCACGCAGGCATGGTGTCAACAGCCGTCCCCAAGCAAAGATGCCCTCTTATTCAACGCCTGGCGAATCTCAAAAAGGCCAGAAAGATCTGTTATTGCCGGGTTAGCCAATGAGAATGCATCTCTGTGTGCCATTGCTGTGGTTTTCAACTGTGCCATCCTTGTCCTCTGAGAATGTAACTGGACCACCGCTGCTCAGATGTCAGTGGCTCAGAGATGAAAAGAAGACAAGAGTCCCTATCAGAGAAGAATGGCAGATTAAGTTGATGGACTATGCCGCATTGGCAAAAATGACCAGAAGAATCAGAAACCGGGATGACCCAAATTTTAATAAGGAATGGGGGAAATGCATAATTTCCCTTAAAAAGCATTGTAAACAATTAAAATTGTTAGTAGGATTGGAATAACACTTGTAGTTCAATGTTGAGTTTTGGGTATAATGGAGATTTAAAAAATTTGGATTAATAGAAGAGATACAGGAGGAAAAGGTCAATATAAGGACCCACAAAAGAGAGGAGGGAAGTTCAGGAGATTCCTTGGAATTCTCTTTTTATGTTGGTGGTTGGATAATGGATTGTAAATTTCTATAATCTGAAAAGCTAAATTATAAAGAAAAAAGAGAACGTAACCGGACGTAGGGTGGACCACCCTAAGAACGGTACACAAATATGTATGTATTATCAGTTTGGGGGCTGAAGTGAGGCAATAATAAATAGCCATTAATGGATGAGAGCTTGGGAGGGCTTTCTTCAGATGCTTTCTGGCCTTCGTCTTCAAGCAGAAACTGCTGGATGTGCTCGCAAAGTTAGGTTGAAGTCTTGCCTTTCCTGAAGCTATCTTTTGGCGGCATCATCATCATCACCGCCACGTCCTCTGGCCCTTGGCAGCTGTTCTTAGCTGACCACGGTCGTAGTCATTGGTCATCTGCTGGTAAGCAGCATGACCAGAGAGCTTCCTCCAGTGTTTTACTTGTTGCTGCTATGTCTGAGAAGCCATTCTGAAGATGGGACTAGTCTGAAGAACTAACTCCAAGTTCTCTTGTTCTGCCTTCTGATTCTGTAGCGTAAGAAAAAATGTGTTGTCAGGATTTCTCCATAAATTGAAGTCAGGGCACTATATCCTGAAGATTTGTAGGGTTTTAGTGCGATGCATTGGTTTGTCCTCTGTAAGAGCAGAACTTTCAGGAGTCGGTATGTTTGTTCTCCATCTTGAGGTGTGTGCTTGGAAGAACAGGAATGTTGTGACGCAGTCGAGTGCCGTATTGAACTTCGGCAGCATGTTAGACGCAGGTGTGTGCAGACCCGCGTATCTGAAACCTGTTGTG